TCTTTCTTGAACTGGGGAGCCCAGAACTGGACACAGGACTCCAGATGGGGCCTCACTAGGGCAGAGCAGAGGTGGAGAAGAACCTCCCTCGACCTGCTGGCCACACTCCTACTAATGTATCCCAGGATCCCATTGGCCTTCTTGGCACCCAGGGCACACTGCTGGCTCAGGGTTGACCTGTCGTCCACCAGGACACCCAGGTCCCCCTGCACATAGAGAAGTGTGTTCGCACAGACACTTTTTAACAGCAGTTCTATACATTCATTTTCCTGCACACAATTTACATACAGCTCTGTGTCTTAAAAATAAACTTCCATCTCACGGGCAGATCTATGGACACAGCACAACAAACAAAAGACCGGTCTGCGGACCAAGTTAAGGGCTCTAGCACCGGATAACCTCACACCCAGCAGAGCTCCAGGATACCGCGTGTTCCCCCAGCAAGGGCTGCCACCCTCCCTTCATCTTCAAAGCCCTTTTGGAGTCAGACTGTCAGGGCTCCGGGGCAAGAAAAACATAATGCCTTTACTTGTTATGTAAATTACTTGATAGAACTGGACACTAGATAAATTAAAAAAAAAAAAAAACCCCAAAGACTTATTTTGAAAGCTGCGGCAGTGTCGAGATGAAAGTGAAGATATGATTAAAGATCTCCACGGTGGATTTTCTTCACACGACAAGCAGCTCCAGCCGTGTTTCAGGCTGATCCCTAAGTTATGAGCCAATTATACCAGAAGCTAAAACGATGAGCCTGCAGAGGAGCAACGAGGACTGACGTCAGCTGAGCGTGTGACAGCATCTCTGCGCTTACCCTAAAATATTCAACATTATGTTTTAATAGTGGTATATGCCACTATGGAAATTTTACAGTTGGAAATAGAAATATTAATCGGCATTTAGCAGAAAGTGACACTAAGTTGACATATCCCCCATCTCTAAACACAGGCTCTGCCAGGAATCCACATTTCCTACACAATTCCAAAACACACAGAGGTATTTAAAAACCTAAGCTTAAAATTTTTGCACTGCAAAGGAGCTGCCAGAACAGCGTTGTATTTGTACCTCTACCTGCACACTGTCTATGCTGAGAATTTAAAGCAACTTGGACTTTATGTCTTTGCATGACTCTGAGAGAAGATACTGAAACTTTCAAAAAAAGGATCAGTTGAAGGGACTCCAGAATGGATGAGGACATGCTTTTTTTTTTTTTTTAAATCACACACACATCCTTAGAAACTATTTGCAGGATGCTCTTCTTGATATTTTAGCTATCAGCTTTCTTCTGGAATTCATGAAAGCCCTACAGTACAAATTCACTTTATGCAACTCACTTCCCCTCCCCTTTTGTCCAACACTGAAACCTCGCAGATAATGCCTGGCAAAAGCATCAAAACAAGCTATTTTTTTTTTCCTCTTTTCAGAGAACTAACAAACAGGCTACAGCAGGGAGTAGCACACTTTGTTACCCCCAGGGAAATAACCTAAACTCCTCTCCGTCAGGGAAACCAGGCTCTCGGGAGGGAGCGGAAGAGCAGCGCAGCAGCACGGGAGAGCCCGGAGAGAGCGGGAGAAGGGGAAAAGGGAGGAAGGTGACCAACCGAATCGCTGACCTATTTCTCTTATCGTAAGGAAGATTCGTTACAAAAAAAACCCAAATATTCCCCTGCTCATTAGGATTCAGTGATCATCGGTTTTATGCCTGGCATTTCACCCTACCCACAGCAAGCCATCTGGTATCCCACAGTTACGTTAAAGCAACCGTAACGCGAGTACCCTCTTTACTCATCTGGGGTAATTCCAGGCCGGCTGGTAGGCGCAGAGTTCGGTAATGGTACTGATAATTCACTACCAGAAAGGAATTCTTCTGTATTTTCTCCAGAGCTGATAAAGCTTTTTCTACGTTACCACTTCTGCCTGTACTAATAATCACAGAATCACAGAATGGTCAGGGTTGGAAGGGACCTCTGTGGGTCATCTAGTCCAGCCCCCTGCCGAAGCAGGGTCACCTACAGTAGGCTGTAGAGGAAATCCTGCCAGGCTCCCCATCACACCCCACCAACACAATACTCCAAAGCAGCTACGAATTTCAACAAGTCTCCGTTTCACAACATTTTCAAGGACGCTTCTCGCTCCCTCCCGGCAGCAACGACGTCCTTGACTCTTGCCCGCGGCACACTGAAAACCACGCCGTCCGCCATCGAGCTCTTCAGTGCCTACGAAGATCACGAGAAACATTTCAGAGCCCGAGAAGCGCCAAGGCACGCAGCTCCGACGTGGGTCGTACGGTCGCAGGTCAGGTTATTTCCGACCTACCCGATCCAATTCCCCCGGGTCTCAGCCCTTCCGCGCTCCCTGCAGCGAAACAGCCCTCGCCGCACGCTGCTGGTGCAGGCAGGCGGCCACGGAAGAAGCAAGATCACGAGCCTGAACGGCCGCCCGCTGAAATCCTTTCGTTCCTGGGGAAGCAGCGCTCATCTGCCAGGGCATCTGCCAGCCCCGGCAGCGAGACAAGCCTCAAGGTCACCGCGCTCGCTGGCCACACACCAGCAGCAGCCAAGCGGGAGCTGAAGTCGGACAGTTTTGATCAGACGCCCATTCAGCGGTTTGCCTTCGCTTGGGCTTGCTCGAATCTTCCTTAAGGTGGGATCGAGCATTTTAACTTCACAAGGTAATTTACTCTGACATCAGACGCCGTCCCTGTTAGGGGCTGGACCCGCTCGAGCGTATTTCTCTTCCAATTATCGCAAAAATCATTTAGGAAAGCCAGGCTACGCCGCAATCCCGCATCGCACTGCGCTGCCCTTCCAGAGGGGATGCAAACCCTGCCTTGGAAGCTGCTGGAACAACGGTTTTCCTACAGGCACCCCACCCCAGTCTCTGCACTGAACTCCCCCGCAGCAAACCCAAACCTCAATGCCCAGCTCGAACCTAAATTTTCCACAGCAGACACAGAAACTGCCCTCCAGCGAGGCAGGGAAGCATAACCACCGCACGTCTAGCTCCATCCAAGTCCACCCTGACGTTCGCAACAGGCATCTCCCCACAGCCGGCTGCGACCTATTAACGAGCACGTCCCTAATTAACAGCCCCGCAGCTCCCACCAGGGTGTTCTGCTGCGATTTCCTGACGGCGACAGCCACGCAAGCCGACTGTCACATACAGAGCTGGGAATCACAGGGATGCTCAGCACCGCTGGTGCCCTGACATCCCTCTGCTCAGTTTATCCTTCACCTTCTTAATTATCGGGTAAGCGGAAAACTGCACAATTACCTTAGTTATTTAACTTTCCAATTATTTCCTAGTGCAGGATCCCTCCCGTCACCTACCCCGACCTGGAAATGAGAGGGCACACGGGTGAGCACAGCCACGGTGACGTTCGCACCGCTGAGCCGCACTCGCCTGCGATCAGCAACGCGATCAGCACCCAGTTTGGCAAACGGCTCTGGAAGTCTCCTGAGATGTAATTCCTATTCTTCACATTAAGATAGGGCGAAAAGAGAAGCTTCCCTTTTTTCCCAGCGATCAAAAAAAAGGGAAAGAACGCTATTTAAAGCTCTGTATTAATACGATAACGATGGCATCTCAGCACTGCCAGCCACACCGAGCCTTGCTATGAGACGCAGGACAATTTTGTTTCTCGTTTTCAGCCCGGCCTTGTTTGCCGACATCCTCTGAACGGCTGCGCGGGTAACGGGGAACTACCTCGACGCTGTTTCGTTTTCAGGCAATTTCCTCCCTCCAGGAAGGACCGCGGCGCAAGTAAAAATCACCGGGTTCCACCTCGAACATGGCTGAAGTCGGTCACCAGCCCCAATGCCGGCTGCCGTCCGTTTTGCCCCTCGCTCGCCCCGCAGACCCCTTCCGACGCTGGGTAACCCAGCTCGGGGGACCCCGTCTTCCTTCCGCAGCCTGGCTCGGCCGCTGCCCCGGCCCCGTTTTCCCCTCCCCACGCTCCCACCGCCCGCTTCGCC